AAACTGTTATCAAACTAGTAAACAAAACACGATTGTTATGAAGTTACCTGGTACTTTGCTAGCACATCATTTGTTAATTCCCCTTTGTGAATGCTGAGGGGAACGTAGCTATTCAATTCAGCAAGTTTAGCAATGGATGCCTCAGCTCGGTTCTTTCCAACATCTTGTTCGCTCAAATAAAACTGTCAAGATAAAAACAAAATAAACAAGATGCCAACTGAATATTTACTGAATTAAAAAATCAACTTATTGATGCTTAATCTGTTATTACAAAAGAGGAATCTTCGCTATTTCAAAGACACCTTTATCAGATGTTACAAAAATAAAAGTCTTTAAAATTTTCTGATATTAACAACATCCAATCAAAAATTTCCTCCATTTAGGAGGCTCAGATTTGGTAGGATACAGCCAAACCTCTAGAAGCTGGTCGTTTCAGGGCCTTAAAGATTTCCTGAGAACCAAAAATCTTTATGTGATTACCTAGGTATTAACAATCTTGTGTTTGATAAAGAGTAGCATATTTAGCCATTCATATTTTGTGCTAATACAAGTAAGGTTTCTTGAGGTGCATTCTCACGACCAGACCATTTTTTTTCTCTTCTCCAGTTCCACCTAATCAAATCCTTTTAGCAATAGCACAACAACCCTTCCAAAAATGCTTCTTCGTTGATCCCTAGCAATTTCAAGGCAATTCAATTTGTTGGGTTTAATTAGCTTCAGTGTAGCTAGATATTGTGCCAACTTTAAATAAATAAATAAATAAAATTACCTGAGAAGCAAGGTCCAACATTGTGCATACATCAGCATCATGAAGGGTAACAGATTTCACTCCACCAAGAATCACATTCTTTGCTATTTATTGAATTGAAAAAATTCTAAATTTCTACTTTTCCGTTATATTTTAAATCATTATTTAAAAAATTATGACACTGAAAAGCTAACTATAATGAACAAAGAACCAATAATTATCCTTGAAAATGTAGAAAGAAGCTCTATTTGAGAACCATTTTCCTAACAAAATCACCAAAAGAATGCCACAAATTAAAATTGAAATCTTTACCATTTTCTGAAATTTTGATAAATTATTATATATATTTATAATAGATTATAAATATAAAATTATAACATATTATTACAAATATAGTATTATCACATATATTACAAATATATCATATTCCAAATATTTCATAATATAATTAAAATATTATAAATTAAGATATAATGTATATATTTTGATTTTTCACATATATATTTATAAATACTATTGTTTTTCTCTTTGTAAACTAACTTCAGCTATTATCATCATCATTTTAAACATTTAAACCTCATATATTGTATCTAGCTTTCCTCCTTATAATTTAAGAAATTAGGCTAACTGATTAAAGTCCCAGACATTGTTTGATTCATTCTAAAATTGGCTATGACTACATAAGGTAGCGTCTTCCCAGCATGTATGTTTCCCATTAAAATTTAAAAGGCAGTGTCGTGGTATATAAATCCCGTACAAAGAAAAACAAATACATATTTATATATGTATCATAGAGTTGAAGAAAATAAGACTACATGGCTTATCTCTACAAGCCTGTTTCGTGAGTAACTCACTTTTCGTGAGTAACAGCTTGTAGAGATAAACCATGTAGTCTTATTTTCTTCGACTCTATGATATATCACGCTCTATGTGCTAATGTATTGAGCACTGTGCTACAGAAGTATCAAAAGACATATTTCTATGAGTTTAGAGAGGTTTTGCTGTAAGCTTCATTCTGAAGAAGCTTACAGCGAAACACCAACCAAGTTGTTTTTCTTGAGTATCTATTTATATTTTTTAAAAAAAACATGTCTCTGTGCTTTTGCACATTGAGCACTGTTTAGTTAGAATAGACAACAAAATCTGGAATAAATATAAATATATGTATATTCATCTATTATATAACTGAAATTTGATTAAATTGGGAGAACAAGCCATTGATGTTTTACTGCCTCAAACAGAACATATAAGATTTTGACTCTGCAATATAACATTGCTTTTGGCTTTGTTGATTGCACTACATCAAGAAACCTGTTCATCAAAACAAATTCATACCTATTTCAACTCCCAACCCATTTAAGCCAGAAATCAGAATGTTTGAAGCCCCCATCTTTTTCATGGCCTCATGACCAAGCACATACCTACAATATTAAAAACGAGAACACAATCATGTTTATATGGATATAATATTAATTATGATAATTAAGACCAGAATGTAGCCTGAAACTGTTTCCAAAGAATTCTGAGAGACCATTTTTAGGTAGGCAATTATGCGATTTATGTAGACAGCTTCATTAAAACCCTTTACTTCCATCCAGTACCAAATAAAGAGGAGATGGTTGTCAATATCACTGGTTGTTGGTGATCATGAATTGCAGCAATTATTCAATGATAAAGATCCTAGTTATTCAATATGCATTCAAACAGACTTATGCATTCAAAATAGACCAAAAATTGAACATAATAAGAAAGTCCTTTAACTTCATTTGTACTTTAAAGTTGCTATGAAATCTGATATTTGTAAAAAACAACAAATGATCAATACAAAGTCTACTTGGAATGAAATATGACTTACAGTTGCCTGGAATACAAGCCCTCGTCGATGTCTGCATCTCCTGGAGCCATGTTTGAAATCTAGATACAAATGAACTTTACACTTTAAATAACTTACAAGATAATCAACAGGAAAAACTCACATTTCCAATTTTGATGTCTTAAATATAACTTGCAATAAATGCATGGGAAGAAAAGTAAAAAAGAAAATTGAAGCAAAACATAATTTGAAATGGCTCAACCACCTTGGCTGGTCTTTAAAGTAATCAATGGACTGAAAAACGAGATGCCAAAGTTTGTGATGTTAAGAATTGTGCAACATCACGAAAAGCAAGAACAGCTGGAAAATACTGAAGCAGGTGATAAGGCCTTCGTCTTATAGAACTCCATAAATCTGCTTGAGAAATTCCAGCCTTTGCCAATCTTCACAAAATATCAAAACTCAAAATCATTTAAAAACTGTGTAAATATATACCCTAAATTTACACCTTCACTTTGGTACTGAAATGTTTAAAAATCAATATTTTTTTATCTTTGATGTTCATAAAATATTAACATAACATTTTTTTCAAACAATACAGAAATAATGAGGAGGAATTTTAGAAGTTGTTTAGAAGGTAAGATAATCCGTTTTTATCCATGATTCATGAAGTTTTCATCCTTTTTCGATCCATGGCAAAATTTTTCATTGAAAAAATCACAAGACACAACATCAAAAGAAAATGTCAAAAAATGTAACTCTTTGGCCTATATTCACAAAATAAACTCTTTCAAAAAGTAGATATCAAAGAGTATTAAATTGTTACTCTGCTGATCATCAACTACACAACACAGCACATTATTTGCAGATAAGAATTTATTTCTTTCCATAGGGAATTTGTCATTGGGAAACGGCACAGAGGCTGAAAATACTGGTTTAAGATTTGACATTTGGCAAATAACTGACAGACTGGTGCCCAGAAAGCTTTAAGAAGTATGCTATAAATATGACTGTATGTTTTTCATTATTGTGTTAAATTGTTGGAAAGAGATAGCCCAAAAAAGAAAATTCATGAAAAAAGTTGTGTTTTCATATTTGAAGCTCTGGCAAAAAATCTTTTCAAATTTTGTGATAGGAGAATGAGATTTGGGACAAAAATACTGACAGAAAATGAGAGTGATTGTGCAACAAGGGCAGGACTTAAACCTGTGACCACATATGTTTGTTGTTGCCCTACCAACTGAGAAAAATGTTGAATACAGAGAGATGAGGATTAATGACGGGCCTGGCCATAAGACTTTGAGTAGGGGAGCTTTAAACAGCTTTTCAATAATTTCCAGATGAGCTACTTATAAATAAAAAAGAATAGAACAAGGCAAAATTGATTTCCTTCCAAGGCGAGCTATTCACTTTTTAGAGCAATTTAGGAGAGCAATATGCAGCTCCCTTCCAGCACTTTAGCAGAGCCTGGAGAAGAGCCAGAGTTATGGCTCTCCTCAACTGGCTAGGCCTGAATGAGCATCATTCATCAACTACAATAGTTAAGGTGCTTTATCATTGGAGCAAAGAAATATTATCCCTCTTTCTGTTTCTGATTTATTAGCTTTGATCTTAACCCATTTCTTTTCAAAATGATTTTGTGTGTTTGTGACATAATAAGAACTTTTCAAAACCCTGTAAAACTTTCATCAAATTTGACAACGAGGGTGACCATAGCTACTATAGTCCTTGAGGGTACACAAGCCCCCAAAAATCATGAAATACTTGTTTTACAATGAATAATTCCTTTGCTTCCTATTAAACAAATGTGCCCCCATCCCACCCCACCCCCCATCAATAATTCTATCTCTTCTACAGTACCGACAATCTTTTCAATTTCAATTGTATTCAATATGTTATTGTTCTTTTGGAATGATCAGGTGCCAACTGTAGCTTCTTGGAAACCACAACCTGAGATTTTGGATGTGTGCATAAAATTTTGTCACCTGCAGGCATCATTTTAATGTCTTGTATACATCTCTGGAGGTTAATATAAATGTTTATAGACATAAATCTGTTTTTATAGCAGAAATCTAGGAGAACAGTACAGTATGCATATTTTCAATTCCCTTTGTCCAAGTATACGACCATTCAACAAGAAAATTTCAAGCTTTCTCTAACTAAAATGTAAAGCTTCTTTTGACCAGCAAACACGAAAAACGATAACTCATAATTTTCTATGCAAGCATATTTGACCTTATATCTAGTTATGTAATGGCTGATTTTGTGACACTAAAAGTGACACTGATCCCTTACACTAACAGCTCCAATGTTTTTCTTGTGGAGCGAACAAGAATTTCATCTCATTTCAAAGACTTATCTATGTGGAGGGTAGCGTTATAGCAAAACCAGCAGCTACACTTGAAATAAATTAAACATGTAATAAAATGCAAACCATTTTCGGGAATGGAATGGAAAGATACATATTGGGAACAAACTAGGAGTCAACCATTATGCACAACATATTCATAGTAAATTCTGCAGAGTTTTTACTTATGAATACAAATAAAAGGACCAAAACTGATTCAATAAAGGCTAAGGTTTAGGCCTTTGTATTGCATCATAGGTTGCACTGGTAAACTCACCCCGTTTTTAAATTGCCCTGGTAGACCGTTCTGCGTTGCACAAGTCCTTGGCCTCTTTCTTGGTGGTGAGCACGACTCAGAATTGCTGTTACTTGACATCAATGAATTGAGAATATTCTTGTAAGGTGTGTGTGTCTGATGAGACGCCGTATCAAAGCTGAACAACGCTTTTCTGGCGAGAAAGAGAGAGAACAGCGAGGACCGCAGTCATGCGCACGCAAGTTTTGACATCCTTGTTACGTCATCGAAGTTCGGGGAATCTTCGTTGCGGGAAGCTGCTGACATCATCATAAAGGGACAAATTTCGTCCCTCTGCTTCCATGAAACAAAAAATGATTATTACAACTATGCCTATTTTCTTTAAGAAACACAAGAGCTTACCTTCAGTATCAGGACCAGTGAAACCGGGGGGCTGGGGGGAGGGGTTCATGGCCTCCCCACTTTTCTGCGAAAAATGCAAAGAAACGAGTAACTGTGCTTAGTACTCCCTTAAATATGGCCTTAGCTTAAGCTTGGTTACGATTTCTATACCATAGAATAAATAGAGAAAATTTAAAATGGGAATTTTATCGAAGAGATCGGTCATTGTCCACGATGTACAATGAGAAATACCTTGACTTAAGAAATGGATCAAGAAACCTAATCCAGGATAACTTGGTGCTAACACCAAATAATGGAGTTTCGTTTTTTTCTATGGCCTAAACGTGGCTCACAAGGTCTATTTGTTAACGGAAAATGATCTATTTGTCACAGAAAGGAAGATTTCAGCTGTTGAAAAAAAGGAACTGCTGGGAACAAATTTTAAACAAAATGACAAATGTTTTTTCAGCAGATTTGTTCCTTTTAAGTATCATCAAAAAAGGTTCAAAGTCTGATTGTATCGACAATCCATTCATGCTAAGAAAGGGAAGATTTAGGCGCTATTATGAATTCTATTCAAACTCGTTTTGACCAGCCCGATAATTTAAGATCAGATTTTACAAAATAACATCCCAACTGTACAAAATTGCATAGTATCTGTTTTTAGTCGATAGTTCTTCTATTTCAATAAATTGTGTTTCATTTATTTTTCTTATTTTGGTTTCTTTTTAAGTCTAAAAAAGGTTTGATTAACATCTAGATTAGAAAAGTTATTTTAAAACTTTGCAAGACCTTTCCTTTTTCGTGTCAACATTACCATCGACGAATCTAATGCGACCTCTTGATAAAACAAAGCTTGAAAATTTTGCCTCGGATTTTCCTTCCGTCAAAATCTATTCCAGGAACAGTTTCTGGCCGTCTTTAAAATGCCATCATCATCATCATCATCATCGGTCGGGCGCGCCCGAACCAGCAACAACAGCACCCCAAACCTGTTGCTGTCGCTCATAGCACTCTGGAGCTCATCGATGTCAAGTCCTGTCTCTTGCATGAGAAGAGTGGCGAAGTCAAGTGATGGTCTGCCAGGGCCCTTATGGCCATGAGATGGTCTCCAGAGCACAAGGTTGGCTGCCACTTCGTTGCTCATCCAGCAATGTCCAGCAATTCTGAGTCTGCTGGCCCTAATCGTACTGGAGACCCTTAGGAGATACCAAATTTTTAAAAAAATCCAACCATGATGGCGGGCTTTCCTGGACCGTTTCGAAACTTTGACTTTGTGGTCCCTCTACCTTCAAATACGTTTCGTCGGCCCTGGTACCCCAGTTTGAGTAAAATATTTTTATCATTAGTAAAAGTTGGTGTGTTGTCCTATGACTCTCGAGAACAGGTAATGGAAAAAAAGTTCTTTTTTTTACGTTCAGGTATTAAAGATTTAACTGGATTCTCTCTAATTCAAATGTGAAAACCATAAATGACTGTGACACTGAAATGGAGTGTCCCAAAAAAATTAAGTGGCTTTTCGAAATTATTTTGTAATTAACAATAATTATTTTCCTTAGATTAAGAGTCATTCAGAAACAGATTCCTAAAATACCAAAGCAAACATGGTCACATTTTAAACCGGGGAGCCCTAACTTTGAACCGAAGACACCGGATAGTATAATTTCAAATGGGAAAATAAAACAACATAAACATGGCATGCGCAATTGACCTGCATCAAATCTTCCTTTAGCACATTGGCATTGACACTGACTGCACATTATACAATTCGCGACTATTCAAACATTGGCAAACAGTAAACAGAAAGTTTCAAAAAGTAGCCCACAAATTTTTCTGGATCTTTCATCTAAAAAAGTGCATGGACAAAAGATAGGAACTTGCATTCACCCCTTGTGCGCATTGTTTTTTATAGGCCGAGCAGGATATTTATTGCGAAATTTTCTTCCTTCTGCGAGTCCGCAAAAGCCCCAATCGTAAAACTACATGTGGAAGGACATTCTTCAATCCCCAATAGAAGTATCGCAATTTGCTTTATCATCTTTAATTATTGTTTATAACCCGCAAAATACATTTTAAATCCCCAGGTCCTTAAATCTCTCATGAGCTTCGGTCAGTGGCGGCTCTTGCTAATGGGCATCTGGGGCAATGCCCCCTCAAAAAGATTCAAAGGAAATCTATGATATTCATATTTAATTTTGAAGATAGTCTTACTGTGGTTAATTATATAAGTTTGTATCTCTTCTAGAAAAAGCTCCTTGCTATCCCATCTCGTCCTTAGCCTCGCTTCTGATTTTCAAATTAGCCCCGTCTCGTCCTTAGCAACATTTTGATGTATAGCTTTCGAACTTTTGCGCATGGATAACTACGCGCAATTTTTGGGTCAAAATATCGGCAAAGTGAAAATCTCTGGTACGTTTGAGTCTTAGATTGAGTACAGCAATACGAAAAAAATCAAGCTATGTTCACATCGCTCCGTATTCGTTTTTATCCGTTTTCATATCAATCCGTTTTACCTGTTCATACTGCTCGAGATACATTTGAAAACGGTATGAAAACGATGAAGCGTTCACATTGCTCCGCTCTGGATAAAAAGGAAAACGCTACGAACTGACAGACTTTGCGATTGCTAATAAACTTTTCAAACAACTCACTGCCACTAATATTCCTCCAAGCAGTGTTCTTACTAACTCTGAGTGTATCAGCCATGTTTAGAAAATTTGTTCAAATTGGCGCGGTCAAAGCATCTTGCTGTGTTGTTGTTGTTGTTGTTGTTATCGCTTTCAAAAGTATCCGGTTTTCGGTGTTCACACTGCGTTTTGCGTTTTCGAAAGTCTCCGTTTTTAAAAGTCTCCGTTTTTAAAAGTATCCGTTTTCAAAGTGCGTTTTCAAAAGTCTCCGTTTTCAAAGTGCGTTTTCAAAAGTCTCCGTTTTCACAGCGGAGCAGTGTGAGCGCAAGGCACAAACGGATACTTTTTTATCCGTTTTCATTGGAATCCGTAGCAATGTGAACGGGGCCTCACTCTAGGGGTGGTTTTATATTTCACAGGTTTTATGGATAATTTTGAAAAAATAGGGTTTTCTTAACTTTCTGCAAAGCAAAGATAAAAAAATTACGGCGATGCGTGCCAAAGTACAGGGCGGGCAGCTTATCAAATGTCCAACTCGCACTTACAAACTTTTTCGTATGGATAGAAACTTTGACAAGCTAATAAAATGATAACCGACTAACGACTAAATGATAAATTTTGATGATTCTCGTTCGCTGGAAAATGAACTGTCTTAAGTAATTTTTACTAAAGCAATTCTCCTATTTGTACTGAAAATTCCTTTATTTTTGCAAACAGATTGTGCAGCAGTTAAAAACAACTGATACCATTTTGCCGTGGTCTTGAAAATAGAATGATTTTGCGTTACTTCCAAAGCCAGGTAACCAGCAAAATAATAGTCAATTGCCCCTCTTCTCATCTTTGGATTTCTTTTTTGCATGTAAAAAAGATCTGGAGCTCGTTGTGAATTTCAGTTAACGATTCTTCTGGGGGGAAATTTGACACATGGTCCAATTCTACCAAAGGAGAGTCTTGATTTTTTTATTAGTATCAACAAGAAATCTTGAAATCATCGACTTCTGTAAAAAATTATATAAACGCGTGTGACAAAGAAGCTCCTCCAGTTTGCGTTTGTTTTTTCTTTCTCTTTCTTCTTTGCGCCTGACATTCTATACATGGGCTCCGACAAAGGTTGAAAAGTGCGGGGGCCAAGGGAAAATTTAACACCCATAACAAAAGATTTTGAAAAAAACTCTATTGTTTTGCAAAAAAGTGGGGGGCCAAGGACCCCCTTCCCCCCCTTCGTCGGAGGTAAATTCCCTGCAGACTTACAGTCAAATAATTTGCTATAGGTTGGATTGCAGGGGAAAGTTTGAAACACTTTTGGTACCGGGGTTTGCAAACTTGTGACCGGGGAAACTTTGAAACACTTTTGGTACCGGGGTTTGCAAACTTGTGACCGGGGAAACTTTGAAACACTTTTGGTACCGGGGATTGCAAACTTGTGACCGGGGAAACTTTGAAACACTTTTGGTACCGGGGTTTGCAAACTTGTGACCGGGGAAACTTTGAAACACTTTTGGTACCGGGGTTTGCAAACTTGTGACCGGGGAAACTTTGAAACACTTTTGGTACCGGGGTTTGCAAACTTGTGACCGGGGAAACTTTGAAACACTTTTGGTACCGGGGTTTGCAAACTTGTGACCGACGACTTTGATCGAGGTCATCTATACCGGGGACAGTTATTTTGTCCCGTGGAGAGTCTTGCCTTGGCCGGGGCAGGATTTTGCCCAGTTTATTTCAGAGGGGAACTCGCCGGGGCAGGATATGCCAGGGCACTTGGGCTCTGTTTATATGGAGAAAATAGCCTCGGCTACCCGATACTATTTTTTTGGTGAGGCTATTTACAGGCTTTGTTCATATGAGAGAAAAATAGCCTCGGCTTGCCGGGGCTGTTTCAATTTGGCGCCAAATTTGACGACTGATAATAGGTTTTGAGAATGACTGGCGTGCTTCTGCTACTTTCTGTTTTATCCTAGTGTACCCAGTTCTTATCAATTGACGTTCTTCTTTGCTTTATTTTTCGTAAGCTGCTTTTTCAACGGCTGTCATTTCAGAAACAGGTTCGAAAGGAGATGTCTCTTCCGGTAGCTCAAAGAATCGATCATATATTTTCACCATTTCTTTGCGAATATATGTATTTTCGAATACGTGTATTTCCGTCATCAAAATCTGTGTTCTTGTATGCACATTTGTTTTTATAATCCAGCAAAATGTCAATGAGTTCCTTTATCACTTTGGAG